ATTTCTCTCTACGTGTTTATTTCTGTATTCTATTTGTTATTTATCTAGATTTTAATATGCTGTTTTCGAGAACTCAGATCTGATATTTCGTTCATTTCAGTTCAATTAATATTTTGATTTTCTTCAGAGGAAATAATGCTGAATTTTACAAATTCAGATGAAGAGAGGAAATAATTATTCACAATGTATAAAATGTAGATGTAATGCACCACATCCAAATACCATGTGTATTCTCCATTCGCCATTGATCCACAGCTCCAAAACGTAGTCAATAGTCATTTTCCCTCAAGACCTTCAAAATGCCCTTGAATTTTACATTGCCAGCATTTGATAAATTATAAGTTCGAGAGAAGATAAATTAAGAAGGCACCATACACTCATCACTTCGTCATCGAAATAAAAATCTTCAAATAGTAGTGTAAACTGTAAAACTACATTCAAGCGGAAAGATTGATATTTACGTCTCTTCAATTTCATGCAAATAAACATTTTCTTACGCTATCCTCACATCACCAATCTCTAGGTTCGTAACAAACTTTACGGGCGATTAATATCTTACTTTATATAATTTATACATATGCATGAAATGTCTTTAACTGCGTTGAGGAACATTCAAAAAAAAATTAGTTGATAATGATTCTTTTGTGAATTCAATCTTAATTAATCGCCAGTACGGAATTGAACAAATTACCAAGGCAACCATTTTATCGTGCTCATTACCTTTCTTATAATTTACAGCTTCTTGCGAACCATTTAAAATAACACATATAACCAAATATAAATGCATTATACATAATAACCATAATAAAAACAAATTTGTATAAATGCACTGCCTCCGTAGTGGCCATCACAAGCAAACATTTAAAGAATAAATGTTGATATAAAAATATGATAATATTTTAAAATTGGGATTACGAGGATAAATTTTTTCCTCTGAATGAAATTTTTCAGGAATATGGATGTCAAATTTCCGAACGTGGTTAACTTCAAAAACTCCACAACTCCGAAATAAATGTATATAAATTTATTTTCAGGAATTACTATATTCCAAGAGAGAATTACAAAAACACGCGGTCAATTGCCAAACGACACTGCTTTCCTGTATGGATTTGCACAGACAACAATTTACATCGGAAGATGAAGAAATAGCAGAGACAGTAATTACAAACTATATCAAAGGATGAATGAGTCTTGAACAATCTCCATAAACTATCCGATATCAATAAAGCTACTGCAATTTTTAAACTCTGTTTCTCAATACTCACAATTCAAAGAATTTTATTAAGATAAGTATTTTTTATTGCACTTGAAACTAATGCAATAATTTGCCTATATCTCCCAAAAATGAAGTTAACAAAAACGTTTTAATTTTCAAATGTGTGTAATTTTTTAGCCTATTGATATTTTGTTTTTGTATTTTCTAACTAAATGCTTCCAATGTTTCGTAAATTAATTAGAAAACTCTTGTGTATTTCCAATACATTTTTCAACTGAAAATTTACAAACGTGGTCAATAATATGGTATTTTTTAAAAAAATAAGAAGTTTTATTATGACTCTTACTGATTATTAAGAATACGTAGTTACTTTCGGAATTAAAAATAGATATGTCATATTAATTAAATCTAGGTATTATCTGGGTTTGCTATACAACTTTCTAAGTATTTTTACTACAATTAAAAGATATTATATAATTTAATAATCTCATAATATTACCGTTAAGAATCGCCTGAAAAAACTTTAAAAATGGCAAATGAAATAATTTTCTTTCAAATTTGAATTAATTTTAAATTAAATGTCATCACAACGATCTGGAATGTAAAAAATGAATTTTAAAAATTCCATAGAGTTGCTTGCTTTGTACAGCTTATTGTGATTATATTATCCCCATCCTCTCACTAACATGTTTCCTTTGATTGTAAGTTGACACATTTGATTTGGAAAATGTTTTTCTTTTACATTTTACAAGAACTCAACTTAAATGTTTTTAAGATTAAAAATTAACAATTTTTTATCAAAATTAACAACCTTTTTCTAACCACAGAAAATCAATTAAAATCAAAAGTATTTGTCTACTGAACAGAAAATAAGGTGCATTTATCAATTACCCACCTAGTTTGTATTTCTTTTAAACGTAAATTTTGGTTTAACCCACACGTACGTGCGCAATTGTCACTAATTAAATTCGTACGGAGATAGAGTATTTATAGAATCTCGTATGAAAGAATGTATGAACAAACCTTGTTTAATTGAAAAAGGACCACGAGGAAATTTCGAGATATTTTTGTGGTTTCTAGTGCGTAGTAGTTCCAAAGTCATCGATATAATGACCTACGATTCTTTGCGTAACTTGTGATTTTAGCACTCTGCGAACTTACATGCTATCCTCAAGCATAGTAACTAAGATCAAAATCAAATATTAATTACAGTTATTCAAATGGTGTGAACGCATCGCTAGGAACTCGTACAGAAAGTTTAAAATAGTGTCTGCTGTTCATTGGTCGGACATATTTTCTCTGTTAATAAGGTGTTGAAGGTCGGTAATACGATAGAAAATTGTACTCATCGTTGCTTCCGGTCCAATGTCAGTAGCGACCCCCAATTGTTTTCCTCCGTCTCGCATCAACGCCAATCGGGGGGGGGTGGACTCAAGGAGAGGAAATTTAGGGAGTCGGGGTCACGGACAAGGTGAGCAGATAGCGCTGCCGCCACTATTTTCCCCTCTGTTTCTACGTCATAGGTCGTTTGACATACAAACCAATTTACGCCATGTTATAAAATATTAGAACAGACGTGTTACGTGAAAATTATTTCAAACTTGAAAAGATCCAATTCCGATGTCGCAAGAGCTGCGACTGTGATCGCGCGCTGCGTAATACAATGGCATAATTCGAGCTAGACAGAATTTACTCAGTAATTTTCATGACTACGCGGCACTGCATGTCGAAACAAATCAACTGACGCTTCTACGTCTCATGATTCTTCATTAACTCTCCAAATCTTCTGTATATCATGAAATTACGTTAAAATTCAAGTTTTATTCCACTTCTCATATAAAATTAGTGTCATAAAAGGTAAGTTTCTAATGAAAAGGTAATAAAAGGTAAAATTCTAATAAAGAAACATTTCAAACGAAACTATAGTAGTATCCAGAAAGAGAGAGAAAACCTAAAAATATACATCAACAATAACATTCACAAATTGGACAACGACCACGTCCGTCTGCGCACACCCCCACACATATTCAAATACTGATTTTACGAAATCTCCCTTTATGAGCTAGATGACCGTTGAAGAACATCCAGGCCATTTACAATCTTATAAGACATTGCCTAATTTTGCAAGATTTTGGCATTTGTTTCAAGAATAATTTTCTTTCTCTTTTTGTAATTTTACATAGTCTCAAACAAATAGTACAACCAAAACATTTAATGATGAGTAAAGGAAGAGAAAAATTAAAAAAAATAATAAAAAAAATGTATTGAATATTCTTAAAATAAAAATCTAGCGTTGTTTGATGTATCATGAATTTTATCCACCCCTACAGGATCAGCATGTATTCGTATAAAAAACCCGTAGCACAATCATGTCCATAACACATTTTCACGAAATCGCCATTTACCAGCGCGGGGTCCATAAAGGAAGCCATTCCCTGGGGCGGGTCTGGCGCGTCCGCGACGCAACATCACGAGAGGATCGCGCGGGCGCCGGCGCGGGCGCGGGGAGAGGGCGCGGGGAGAGGGCGCGGGGAGAGGGCGCGGGGAGAGGGCGCGGGGAGAGGGCGCGTGGAGAGGGCGCGTGGAGAAAGCGCGTGGAGAGGGCGCGGGGAGAGGGCGCGGGGAGAGGGCGCGGGGAGAGGGCGCGGGGAGAGGGCGCGGGGAGAAAGGAGAGGGCGCCCGGGAGGAGTCCCCCAGGGGCCCGGATCGAGTCCGCTGCGCGGAGACGCGACACGTCGGGCGTTCTTCCGATAAACTGTCCGCGCGATGGGTTATGGACGCGCTCCTGCTGGGCGAATGGGGAAATGCTAGTTCACACCGGCGCAGGTAACAGATTTTTCACAGCGTGAAGCACTAGGTGAATATGATGCGAATTCATTTTTGAGACATTGCACCCGCGCAAACTCTGTATTCATGAACGTTTTATGTCAAAAAACGGTACTTCATCAGCATTACCGAGTGTATTACTGGACTTGTATCGTACGTAAGTTACCTCATCCCAATATATTAATTTGTTCAGAACAATTGGTGGCACAGAATTCGTTTAATTGTATTCCCATGATATATTTCTACATTGATGAGCAGCTAAACTTTCCGATCCTATTTCGCTCATTGATTGATAATTTGTTTCCGTAGGCATCAATTGCTATGGTCAGCGTGTTTTTATCACGGGAGATGACCTTCATCTGCTGGTGGTGAGTTCTGGCTCTAATCTACACGTCGACTTGCGGGGTTTTCCTCAACTAGGTATCTCCACCAAGGGGGCACCGCCTCAGCAGGGACAAGCTGAAGCTCTCAAGTGGTCTCCTGGCACATGTGGTTGTGACGTGTATGTAAGTAGGGGTGAAGATAAGACAAGGAAGAGGAAGGAAACATCGCGAGCGGTCCGTGGCACGTTTGTTAGGGCACTGCTCTGGCATTTGCCCGGTCTCCGTAGGAGAAACCACGGAAAACTACCGATCAGAGCAACAAGTCGCTAGAATTCTCCTCCAGATAGCGGCTGAATTCGAGCTAGCTCTCTTGCACTTGTCGAAAATACTGCCACCGTCGGGACTCCAACGTAGGGTGTCCAAGAACCAGAGGAGCTTTAGCGACATGAGTTGATGCCCTAAGCTACTTCTTCCGGTTCGGAGCTCAAGAAAATATGAAAAGATTGTGTAGCTTCCCATACATCCCAATCACATGCATGCTTTTACCGTTAATAAATAAATAGCATTAATACAATAGATAAATAAATTTTTAAAAAAATGTCCTATATTTAGTAAAGTATAAATGAAAAACTTACTTTTATATGTTCCCTTGACGATCAGACGAAGGGTAGCGTCATTAACCTTGATGATTCCATAACTTCGATTAACGTATGTCATTATCTGAGTTCCGCATGTCAGCGAGCAATGGACCGTAGATTTTGCACAAACATCACGCATTGGTAGTTGTCACAAAATAATATGCACACAAGGTTACGTAGTTCTTTCACCGGTTTGTGTAAGAGCCTTTTGTGATATCAGCACACTACGTGATAAAATTTGCTGTTGCACTCACTTTTCGGATAATTAATTTTGATGATAGTTTAGAAAATATGAATCAATAGTTTATGAATAGTGACAACGCTTCTTGAAACCACACGTGGGTCACTGTATATTTCTCATTTGCGTTAACACATAGAAGAACTTGAAAGTATTATTGCCGGAAAACAGATCATTGAAGAAAAATACTGTTCGTAACACACATCCCAGTTAATGACAATGACACTACATAGAAAATCAGGCGGTGGCGTTACTACCCGCACCTTTCGCCTGAGCACCGTTGCCAACCGCTCGTGACCATGCGCCGGACGGAAAGATGTTGCCTCTAGCGAGCGCCGGAAATAACAAAGGAGGAGCGCTCGGCGCCCATGAGCATATGCTCTACAAGGCGGGAATTTTGAATTTGATCATCCCGAGAATGCCGACAAGTTCGTATCACGCTCTGCTGCTAATAATCAATAATGGACAACACAGTCATTCAGTGACTAAAGAAATCTCTGTTTGTATCCCAAATAAATAACGAGAAATGTCTTGGGTGGTTGTTGAATGGGTAGCAAAATAAGCTATATTATTATTATTATTATTATTATTATTATTATTATTATTATTATTATTATTATTATTATTATTCCTTTGTGATCTTTTGTACTGCTACCCTTTGATAGAACGTTAAAGTCGCATTAATAGCTAGTAGGTCATTAGCGATCTCTATAGATTAACGATAGGGTTAACACTATGATGTGATATGGTGATAGTGAGGAGTGATAGGACGAAACCATATGCAACCATTGTCGAGGCGGGAATCGAAACCGGATCCTTCAGTCCGAAATCGCTACGGCACTATTGTCTTAAAGATTTTTGCCATTCTGACGACACAACCACACTTCTCATGAGTCTTTCAATAAAATTTGATCATTTATAAGGAAACCACACATGATATTAAAAGAAATCATCAATTGCTTAAAGAGCTTTCAACGAAGATGAGCAGACATTGAAGACAGTGATATTCAGAGCAAATCCTTTGACTTAATTCATGAACTGTATTTTAAGAACATTTTAGACTTTCTTGCAATAAAATTTTATTTAGAGTTACGCACTGTATGTAAATTTTTTTCTGCATTGCCATTGTGAGAAATCATAACAAAGAAAGAATATTCTGAATTAAAGAAGAACATTCCCTGACAAACAAGACAATTTCATCACAAGCAAGACAATTCCCTAAACGAGAAAAAAATTCCATGACCAACAAAAAAATTACTGACCTAAAAAAGCACGGCCTGATTCAGCAAAACACATCCTAAATATATAAAAAAAGTATCTAACAAACATTTTGTACCAAGGAAGATATCTCCCTACTTTGTAAGAATATTCCTGAATAAACGTGCAAATGATCTGTGAGGAAACTAGCTGCTGTGGAGACATTCGACGGCTAAGCTCAAACTTTATAAGCCAGACAGATAAGCCACGATTCGTCTGCTGTTGGAATAGACACCAATAATAGTAATAAAATACAAGAAATACAAATCACTAAGAAATATAAATCACTTGTGTTTCACGTTGTGTTCAAATAAATATATTTGTTTCTCCTGTGTGTCAGTTGTTTTCATTGTCATAATATAAACAAGTGAGAAATATTTAGTCAGGAAATCAGGAGTAAATATCTCATTAGCCAGCAAACATTTCACTTTAGTGAGTCATTTGGTAACAATAAAATCCATTTTTTTTCACGATCGTGAAAAAATAATATTTTTTTATCGTATGACTAAGAGAACTTGCATTGTAACACAAATCAAATTGCAATTAACACTTCTCTACTGATTCATTCGGTGTCATTACCTCGTATTTCTCAACAATTCTACACACTAACCGCCTGCCAGAACGTATCCGCATCACATTACCCACTTTCTCGGAACCACCGAATTATTAATTTCTACCGACGCAGATGGCGTGTTCTCGGCCACCGGCCTGGGCGGGGCGGAAGGAGCGGAGCCGGGCAGGAAGAGGCGGGGTGCGGGGGAGGGGGTAATCGGGATGAGTTGGGAGGAGGAGAGCTGAGGCGGGCTCAGACGTGTGAGACGGGAGTGCAGCAGGATGCAGACCGGTAGAGGCGGAGAGCGGACTTCAGACAGGGGCGGATGAGCGGACACGCTGATAGCGGATGAGGCGGGTTAGGCGGAAAGGTGAATGCGGAACTGAATGCGAGAAGAGGTTGAGCGGAAGACAGAGTGAGCGGAGGTGAGCGGGTGGGGGTGGGCGGGGTGAGGCAGGGTAGCGGGAGTTGAGGCGGGGAGCGGGAAGGTGATCGGCGGAGAGAGCGGGGTGATGCAAGGGTGAAGGCGAGTGAGGGGGGCGGGGTGGGCGGTAAGGTATGCGAGAGTAAGAAGGAAAACAAAATAAAGAAAAAAAAAAAAAAACAAGGAAAGGTGGAGGCGGTGGGCGGGTATAGAGCGGCGTGGGCGGAAAAGGTGAGCGGAAGGTATTTGCGCAGTGAGCGGGGGAGCGGAAAATGGTTGCCGCGGGTTGAACACGGTTGAGGACAGGGCTTGATTGCGGACAGGTATCGAAGGTATGCATGGGTTATCGGCGGTGATTGCGGTTATCGGAGGTGACGGCCGTTGGTGATGCGGGGCTAGGCGTTGTGAGTGGCTGCTGCGGATCGTGAGCAGGTGGCGGGGAGTGGGGTTGGCGCGGCTGGTGAGCGGATGCTCCTGTAAGGCGGGGTGAGCGAAAGAGGTGAGGCTGCATGAGCGAAGGTGAGGCTAGGGTGAGCGAATGGGCGGGGAGGCGAAGTGAGGCTCGGGGTGAGGCGGAGGTGGCGGTGAGGCAGCGTCAGTAGCTGAGAAGTGAGCGGAGGAGTGAAGGCCGTCAAGGTGAGCGGAGGTGTGCGAAGAGTGCGCGCGGTGGCCGCGTCCGAATCGGAGAGTGAGTGAGAGGTGAGCAGAAGGATATAGAGCGCGGTGTAGTAGGGTGAAAGCGTTGTGGGGGGCGGGTGAGCGGTGAGGCTGTGCGTTGAGCGAAGTTAGCGACGTTGATGCGTTAGTGAGGCGGTGAGGCGGTGGTGACGCGGTGAGCGGGGTTGAGGGGCTGTTGGGGTGAGCGGAGTTGCGGTGCGTGAGGCGCGTGAGGCGGGTGAGCGGGTGTGGGGGTTGAGGGGGTGAGGGGTGACGGGTGGGGTGAGGCTGCCTGTTAGGTGATAGGGTGGTGGGAGCGGGTGAGTCGGCGGAATGGGTATGGAGTAGGGCTGTCCGGTGAGGGCGAAGCGGCGTGAGGCGGGGCGCGCAGGTGGGGCGCGCCTCAATTAGCGCGCTGCAGCTGCGAGGAGCGCTAGCCGGTGACTGCGCTCGCTTATGATGCCGCCCCCGCAAGGATTAATCTTCATCTCGTCCTGTGCTCTCTCCACTGCGCAGCAGCCGCCCAGCGCCCACCTGGGCCGCCTCCGCCACACTCCTGGTGGCGGGTGGTGTTAATAAATGAACTGAATGTAATTAGTGATCATTATCAGAGAAATTTCTTGATTCTGATAAGTTTAATATTTAAACACCATGTACCCAACGAGTACTAACAATAGAAATAGTTGAGTGTGTATTGTGACAGAGTTCTGGACAATAAACTATAGCAAACATGATTATAAGTAGGATAATAATAATAATAATAATAATAATAATAATAATAATAATAATAATAATAATAATAATAATGAAATGTTTGTTACGACTTAAAATGTGACTTGTTCGCAATACAATTTATAAAAATCCGCAAAACAAATAAAATAAACATGACAATTTTACCAAATGACAGTTGACACATTACGTATGATAATCCTGCCTACTGGTCTAATATGCAATATCTACAATATTACCTAAAAGAAGTAATATAAAATTTACCACAGAAAAGCAATCGGCAGACACCAGAGACACTCCTCGCACATTAAGTTAAACCCCGTTCTACAACACCACCTTGACAACACACGATTCACAAGTGCGGATGATAAAACGTAGTACTCTTCATTCTCTGGAACTGCTAAAACGGGAATACGTGAAAGAGAGACGCGTAAAATACTTTGTGTAGAAGTACTATAAAACCGAATTCTTAAGCAAACAAGCGATAAAAGATTTGGGGTACACTACCTTTAAAAAAAGTACAAATCACGAAATTGACTTGAGTTATAAAAATTCTTATTGTGCCAAAACGCTTCGTACATTAAATATATTTTGCATTTTTTTAAAGTCAGAAGTTTTAATGCAAAGCGTAACTATACCATACACATAAATGCACTTTCTTCTATACGAGTAAAACTTTTTTTAAATAGCCATTTTCCAGACAATGATGAAAAAGTCACAAGGGCTTCAAGCCACATCCCAAACAATTAAAATGTCTTTATGATATACGACACAATTAGATCTTACTTCTGACGTACGTACTAATTTTCAACTCAAATCATCTAATCTGACACTTATGCGAATCACATTCTTGAATCGAGACATCCATTCATGTAAATGGGTTTTTGGGTCCACAATTGCATGTATCTTCTCTCCGCCTTTATTATTATTCGCCCTTATTACTCAACTTTGGAATAACACAAATAATTATTCCTTACGGGTCAGTGAACTTACAACTAAAAAGTGCCTTAAACTCGAATTTTATGATCGAAATTCGAGATCATATTGCCGAGGTGATTCTAGAAGAAAATCATACAAACGACATTGAGGATACCTCATTTAAACGCTTTGCTCCGTAGTCTTTCTTGACACAAATCTCTTTCTCAGCCTTCATCTTCCATTCTGTACAACTTTTTCTCGTTCTTCATACGATCTCACTGCCTGACAATTTAAACCGTTTTAATGCGTCCTTTTACAATTTTCTCGCTCAAGCTCCGTCTTCTGCTGCCGTGATCTCCGCCGCTCGAAGGCTACCTGACACCGCTGTGTCACCTCAACCCCCTTTGTTGTCACAAGCCTGTGTCTGTCGCCC